TTAAATGTGACCATTTGTAGAATTCAGAGACAAATTAGTGGCATCATGAAAATTTCCAATTAATTGAAAAAATAGTCAACTTTTATTTAAGTAATAAGTGTGACTTTATCTTTATAGACACTTAAACTTCCATTTGGCTTATACAATTCCATTTTCTCCAACTGGGAGCTGTGTGGGATCAAGTCCTACTTTCTTCATTGACACAGCAATATCAAACAAATAGTCGTAACATTCACACCTGGAAAAGAAAAAAAAGACTGAGCGCTGTTTAGTAAGACACAGAGCTTACGTCACATCTCTCTACTCTGTCTAGGTAACTTTGCTTTGTTTCCAGTACCTGTACATTTTTCTACTTAGTTTCCATGCTTAATTTTCCTATTTTGCCCCAACAACTTAAAAACCTGCAAAACAAGTGCTCTGAATTCTGCAATTTAGTATGTGCCTCTCAGGAAATATGATAGCTTTAAATGTGCTACTTATAACAATTTTGCTTTTTAAAATTATGCATATTAAAAAATTTATTATTTTAAAAAATTTTATGTGTATGTATGTATTGCCTGCATGTACGTAAGTGCACCTGTGTCATGCAATGCCCATGGAGAACAGAAGAGGCTCTCGGATCCCCTGGAACTGGAGTTATGGACAGTTGTTAGCTGCAATGTGGATGTTGGGATTCGAACCCAGGTCTTCTGCAAGAACAGTCAGTGTTCTTATCTGCTGAGCCATCTCTCCAGGCCCCAAATTATGCATAATTTTTAAAAATAGAATTTATATTACTAAAGATCCTTGTCTCCTTTTCCTTTGTATCAAAATCCATGGAATCTTCCCAAATAAGAACTGATCTAATAAATATTTCTCAATGAATCAGCATATAGTAAAAATCAAGTATTTACAAATAATGACAGATCATTTAAACACACAAAAATATAAAAAAAAAACCATACTTCATTTTAAATCCTAAAACATTTTGTTCATTTTTACGTCCTGAGTATGAATTGTCCCAAATGTTCTTGGATTCAGCTTACATGGTTTTGGCTTTCTCCCACGATTCTCCCCACACATACACTCCATGGCGCCTGACCAGTACTGCACAGGAGTCTGGGTACTCATTCATTGCATGAGCCATTCGTTCCTTGAGGTCTTTCTCCTCAGGAGTGTTCTCAATAATGGGTACTACTAGCATATCATCATATCTGTAAGAATAAGCAAGCCATTTTCCCCACTCAAATAACAGTATTCATATATTCAATTTGTAAACTTTCCAGTTAGTAACAGGTTAGATAGTCTCTTTATATCAAAGGCACTTCAAGTTATGAACAAGATGTTGCAAGTTATTCTGTATATCTTGCATGGACATATCTCAAAAGATGCCTTTGGAATTTGGCAGGCAATCCCAAGTTAAAGTTGCAGAAATTTGTACAGAATAACAGAACTTAACAAAGAAATCAAGATCATACAAGTATTTCCTTGAAGCAGAGGTAATCATAATTTTTTTAACATCAGATAGGAAATGATGCATCTCAGCAGTGTAGAAAGGACAAAAAAACTGAACTATATGTTAAGTAGAAATATGTACTAACAATTAAAAAGTCATTCTATTTCATCTCTGCAGAATGCTGAAATGTCTTGGACAGGTAAATTAATACACATAGGTGTAATCTGTGGCACCAGGATAGCAAGAACTTTCTAGCAATGACCTACTAAAGATATGATGATGCTTTCAGAGTATTCTCAAATGTGTTGCATTATAACTTTTAATTCTATTTTGTCTTCAGTAAATATACGTGATACAAATCTGAATGTAGTAAGTTCAAGGAAACAATGTAGCTACTAGTAAAACCAAGTCTGTTCTACAGGTTACTTGAAACCAATCAATATTCAGACAAGAGTGACTTTACACATGAATTTTTCTTGTGTTGTTAATGTAATACTTGTCTTTTCATTACCACAGTAGTGTGTAAACTTAAAACAAATTCTGCCCCAAGTATTATGAGAAATGACCACTTTTATCAAGCATGGATAAAGAAGCTGTCATGTGATTAGTAATCTGGGTAACCATTATCTTAGTAGTATGAGCTTGCCCACAATTTCACTTTAGTTGAGACAGAAGCAATTATATAATATCCCTAACTATGGAAGGAGTGGATTGCTGATCTCAAATCTTCCCTAAAGCTAGCCAGAAAAGCTAGTCAGACAATGCAAGTCAAAAGCATTTCCAGGTACAAAATAATTTAATAGCACAATGAGACCCAAAAGCTAGTTCAAGCCAATCCATCATTTCACAAACAGGATACTGTTTTACATGAAAATCAAACTAAATATGAAACAGAGCTACGGCAGTCCTTTGACTGTCACTATTCTTTTCACTCTAACATAGGCAAGTTGCTTCCAAAGGAAGGACGGTTACAATGATGTGTGCTAACCTCACTTGCTAAGAACTAAGTATTTTAAAGCTATTTTTGTTTTGTTTTGTTTTGGTGCTGGGGACCGACCCAGAGCCTAGAAAATGCTCAGTGCATACTCTATCACGTTAGCTTTTAACTTTTGTACTCAGGTGCTTTCGCAGTGCTGAGGAATGCTTTAGGCACACAAAAAAATATTAGATGAAACCAAGTCAAATTAATTTCTTGGCACACTAGCTGAAACATGTACAGTATGTTACCTGCAGTCATGGTAAGACACTGCTGTAAGGACACTTCAGTAAAATGGGAAGCATTTTCCTCTAAGCAAGGCAGGGAGAATAGGGCCCTTTGGGAAATTAAGCAGGGCAAAGGCTCAGAAGAATGCTACTAAGCTTACAGGCAAGGCTCAGCTTGTACCTGGGCACTGGAACCTGTTTCTTCAAGCCATTATATTCTAGATTTATGAATAATGACTACATTTTTGTGGGCTGGTAGATTTGTTTAAACTTACCTAGAAGGTCACTGTTGCATACTTACCATATATCACCCACATTTCACATTCGGAAATACAGAAATCTACCTGATTAAAGTGATTAGAAGAATCATATACATAGGAACATATTCTAGAAATACTGAATTAAGTCAGCATGAAGACTAAACTGTAGTCCTGTTCAAGTTTCCAGAAGACAAAGAGAAGGCGCAGAGGTCTTGTGCGCTCAGTGCCTCAAACAGGGATGTCCTCCCATCGTTACAGAAACTTCAGCCAAGACTTTTTTCCATTTTATTTGAACAAACACTTCATTATTCATCTTGCTAATAATTTGCCATGGCTGGTGAGGGGACAGGGAGTGCGTGTGTCACTGAGAATGCATCTGGAAGCATAATGTTAAGTGGGGTATTATTTAACACGGCTTGTGCAGCATCTCATTATATGCATGAAAAGATCAGTGTCCCACTCATCAAAGAGAAGGAAAAATGCTTGTCACATGGTTTAGGCAAAATATGTACATATATACCTATAATAGCCTCCAGAAGTACATCTCCTTATTCCTTTGATCATCTCTTGATGTGTAATTTTAAACTCCCGGCCTGGAAAGAGAAGGGTAGCCATGACGGCAGCCTTAGAGTGGGTGTGAATCACCGCGCCTGCTCCTGTAGGAGGAAGAACAGTCACGTGCTCAGTGGAGTGAACTTGTATGTTTAGGAGAAAACCAACATATACATATACATATATATATGCAACTTTATATATACATACCCTCTGACCCATGACCAATTTATTCCATGCCAAAAAATGAGTCCATAATCAAATATATACATATATACACATATGTCTACACACACACACACACACACACACACACTCACATATTATATACACATTTGATTTTGGACTTATTTTTTGGCATGGATAAATTGGTCATGGGTCAGAGGGTAAGCCCAATAATAATGGACCTTCTTCAAAGGCTGATAAGAGAACTGGGGGAGTTAAAACAGTTAAAGTTCTTGTACATATTAGATACTCAAGAAATGTTAACTAGCGTCATAATTACTATTATTTATGGACGCCTACTCTGCGCATGTTCTTTAGGCCAACCATGCTCTGCATACCCCTCATCGTGTAGGCGTTCATGAAAAGAGGAGTGCACTGGCTTTTTTTCAGCTTCTTCGATGCTGGAGGCCCACTGATGTCCTGCTCATTGATGTCACAAACAAACATGTCTTCGGGCTAGTTACAGAGGGCAAGAAAGAAAAAAAGTTTCATGAAAATCAATTAAAATGTGTCTCTTGTCTGTATTACACAGTATACAAATACACATAGTATGCAAATATGTGTCCACACCTCTCATTTTAAATATTCATGTAGTCTCCCCCAAATTTTTAGTAGTATTGAGAATTATTTTTTAATTTATTATTTTTAAAAATTTTTATGGGTATGCATGTATTGCCTGCATGTAGGTATGTGCATCCATGTCATGCAATGCCTCTGGAGGACAGAAGAGGCTGCCAGATCCCCTGGAACTGGAGTTACAGACAGTTGTTAGCTGCCATGTGGGTGCTGGGATTCAAACCTGGGTCTTCTGCAAGAATAGCCAGTGTTCTTTAACTGCTGAGTGATCTCTCCAGCCCTGAGAAATTTTTAAAAAATTTTTATACCGACAAAAATATTTTCAAGAGACTGAAAAAAAAATCACTTTTTCTTTTAGAATTTCAAAATAAAATCTGCTGTGGAAAACTATTATGTATATAATGATGTTATCATTTCATGGATTCAGTCAAATACTGTCTGTCATTTCACAACTATTTCTTAGGGAAACTATATAAAGAAATCAACATTCCCAGCTAGGTGTTAAAATTTTCCTATCCCTTGAGTACCTTAATAATATGTATTATTCTTTAAGTTTTAAGGAAGTATGTAGATCTAGCCTTTCCTTAGCAGTGTCTGCAGGTTTCTGATTTGCAGGTTCATTTGCCAGAGCTCTTACAGACTACAATATAATTTTTTTTTTATTATAAGAGCAACTTTTCTTTTTCTTGTTTTAACCCAAAGAATTCTGTGTTGGGTTAGATTTTGAGTGTTATTCCCACATTGATATAGAATGCCACTTCTCAAACTTTTGAAATAAAATCTTCTCACTTTAAATTGGAATAGCTTTGCCATTGAAAATATGAAACAGTTTGCACTGAGACCATCAGTATGACCACTGTACTTACTTGATCACTTTTTACCATGGCTATAGGATAAAAGGCTGCAAAGCTGACCACTTTTTACTGCGATTCAAGGTTGTACCATTCACTTTTATGTAGTGCCTGCTAGTTTTCTGAATGGGATTTTAAAGATTTATTTATTTTTATTTTATGTGTATGAGTATTTTGCCCACATGTATGTATGTGCCTGGTGGCCATGGAGGCCAGTAGAGGGCACCAGATCCCCTGGAACTGGAGTTACAGATGATTGTTAGCCACCATGTTGGTACTGGGAGCCAAACCTGGGTCCTCTAGCAAGTGGTCTTAACCACTATAGCATCTCCCCAGCCCCAAATAAGATTTTAAAACATGTCAGTTACATAGAAGATACTTACCACCTTAAAATAACATTTCACAATTACTCAACAAATATTTAATAGTTACTTGACAAATATTTGTTGATTAGTTATTTAAAATTTCACAAAAGAACCACCCTTCCAAAGTAACAAACTTTTAGAAGTAATTCCATTTCATGGAATGGTAGTTAAGGACAGAAGACATTTGGGTTAGGGAGGATCCCTTTATTTATCATACCTGAATGCGTTCCTTTTGCACTCCTGAAGGAGCAATGTAGATTTCATTGCTGGTGACACAAAATATAGAAATTGGTATTTATTTAGCTAAATTCCTGCTTTTGCACAAATAACAAGTGTCCTTGCAGTCGAACCACTAATGTTCTTTATACATCAAGCAGTTGCTTGATGTAGTGAAGGATTTAGACTATACAGAATGAATACCAAACTACTTTGTAATGCTGGTGGCCTACCAAACTTTTGGTAGTTGTTTTGTCTTTCCTAGTTTCAATATATTTACTTCTTTTCATGCTGTAAAAGTCAGTGGTAAGCAGACTTTTATCTAGTTAGAGGAAACCAAAATCCAAATATGTAAGCTTTTTGCACTTTTTAGCATGAATGAACAGAATTTCTACTACCATATTAAAATACAGTCATTCTAAAATCCAATCAGGCAAAATATATGCTCAGTACAGTAAATTTCTACATTGCAAAGAATGAGGTTCAATTTTATTGCTTGAAATACACACTATAAACTATGAAGCTCAAGAGACCTCTGCTGGACAGTCTATTAAATTACAGCATCAACACTGAACTTTAGAATTGTTTCCTATATGACAAGCACATAAACCTTGGAGATTACTTGGCAATAAAGCACAAACAATTATAAAACATTAAAAATGCAAGAAGAGAGTTGAATGTGGTGACATATGCCTAAAATCCCAGCACTTGGAATGCTGAGACAGGGAAGATCATGAGTTTATGGCCAGCCTGAGCTACATAGTAAGCAAATATCTGAAAAGGAAGGAAGGAAGAGAGGGAGGGAGGGAGGGAGGAAGAAAGGAAATAAAAAAATACTGGAGCTGGAGAGATGGCTTATTGGTCAAGATCAGTGGCTGCTCTTGCAGAGGACTCAGGTTTGGTTCCCAGCACCCACATGGTAGCTAACAACCATGAGTAACTCCAGTTCTAGGGGAACTGGTGCCCTCTTCTGGCCTTTGGGGTAATTGCATGCATGTGGAGCACATGCGGGTAAAACTTATACAAATAAAAATTAAAATTAAAAAATATTTAAAAAGGGCTACATGTAAAAATGTTTGTTTTAGTGTGTTCTGTTAAGTGAGATGCTATTCCCTACGCTGTTTTCCACAAGGTTCTCTAAGGTACTGTCAAATTTAATTTGCAATGTAATTTCAAAGACCTCTAAACTCTCTCTACCCACCCTCACCAGCAAAAGGTCCTTAGCTCACTTTCCAGTTTCAGTTGCTGGCAGAGCATATTAAAGAGCTGTTGTATACATGTCAACCCTGAAAACAGTAGTGCCTGGGACTCTAGTGTCTGCCATGGAGGCAGAAATGTAGAGACAATGAATAAATGTCAAATGCTCATAGTAAAAATGAAGAGGGCCTACATTAAGCTGTCAAAGTGGCCTTAAGAAATATAGAGACTTGGAACTGACAGACATATCAGTGAAATGAAAGTTCCTTTAAGGTTCCATTGGTAAATTAAAGTCTAGAAGATAAGTGCCCGATAGGTGAGTGGGATCCAAGCACAGTAAACTCATACCCAGGGTAGCTTCCCCAAGGCAGCTACTGCTCTAGATCTCTGCTTGGGGACAGCAGAACAGGCCCAAGAGGAGTGGCAATGGTTGGATCACATGTCACACAAACCAGAGATCTGCCTCAGACATCTTCGCGCGACAGAAGAAATTCTAAGTACGCCAAGTTTGTTTTTATCACTGCATTCGTAAATGGGAATCAATTTAGACATCGATCAACTTTGAGAGATTCAAAGATAACCTAAAGTTTTTGACAAGAACACATTAATGCTTACAAAGAAAGAGATTATTGGAAAAAACACAACAGCAAAGACTTTTGTTAGGAGAGTAACATGCCAAAGACTGAAGTGGAATGTCTGCTTGCTGCTACGGGCCAAGCAAATGAACAAAAAGCGTGCTGAATTTCAAGGCATTCAATTCTGGAATTTTTTTCTCTATACTCTCCGCTCTGTGGTAAACAAAAAGGCAAAAAAGCAAGAGTTCACACTACATCTGTGTTCAGGTGTGTCTCTTTTTACTTACTCTCTGGCCACTAAAAATCATTTAATTATTCTTTCGTCTCAGTATCTCATCTACAATATGGGGTTATCAACTGTGACCCGATCAGCATGAAACAGGCTTCTATGTCTGACACATGTCACTATTATACTGAGAAAATGGGACATGCTAAATCTTGATGTAGGCCAAGCCTAAATGCAACAGCTTTGGAGTACCCTGGAGTTACCTTGATTACTCCTGGGGCAACTTCTATATGTGTCCTAAACTGTCTTTTATATACATCTCATGGCACCACATGCTAACAGTGTAAGCTGGAGTAGTATCAGTCAAGTCTTGAAGTCAGTCAGCAATTCTATATTCCCAAATATTTTATTGTCTGTATGATTCTCAATTACACTTCTTTTAAAATTTATTTGTCCTAAGAGTCAAAGAAGACCAAGAGATCATGAAAAATGAATGACGCAGGCAGGCTAATGGATTCATTTAAATTTCAGGGACAAGGCTCAACACTACTGAAAATACTCATTTTTATTCTGTAAAGCACAAGCTTCAATCTGAACAGAGCCTTAAAACCCTGGCTCTTCCCATTTGTGGCCCCTAGGAGGAGCTCCTTGCCCACTAAAAGTAAGTAAGGAAAAACTGCACATGATGCAATGTAAATTGATTGTAGTGCTATAAAAGCCATTATGTTCTAAAAGATGTGGCAATCAGTGGTTTATGTTGGCCACACACAATCACAGTTCATGGATTAGAAAGGTTTTTGCTAGAAAGAGAGGTCCTTTATAACTTTCTGTTCAAGGGGCTGGAGAGATAGCTCAGCAGTTAAGAGCACTGTCTGCTCTTGCAAAGGACCCAGGTTGGATTCTCAGCACCCACATGGAGGCTAACAACTGTTCATAACTCCAGTTCCAGGGGATCTGACACCCTCTTCTGACCTCAGTGGGCATTATACAACATGGGTGCACTTACACACAGGCAGGCAGTACTACACTCATAAACATAAAAGAAAAATAAACTATTTTAAAGAAACAAAACAAACATAATTTGAAAGAAAATTCCTGTTCAAAAAATTTCCTCTTGAATTCTGCATTCTGTTATTTTTAACTCTGCTGTATAGTTTTTAAAGAACCAGAAAAGATTATTTTAGCTCAGTTTGGTAGAAACTCTATTATGTACAAAAGCATTTTCTTGCTTTCTACACATGATAATAAACAGTAGTTAACTAAAGGCAACCTTCAGAATATGATTATTATATATAATTCACTGGGGAAATAAAATTATTGGCACTTGATTTCTAAATAGATAAGTGAAAAAGGAATAAATTGTTAATAACATAGGGTTTACTGTGAATAGGCCAACCTGAAAGTTTAAGCAAAATAATGGGAAAGTTTGCACAAAGCTGAACTGACACATTAGCAACTAGAGTGATGGTGAGATGGGGCAGATGGACAGGCAGGGACTCCGAGTGCATCCTTATATACACAACTGTACCAGCTGCTGACTATGGCCTTTCTTTCTATTTCCCACTATTGAATCATCATTTCATGAATTATGTGGTAATTTGGGGGTTATTACTACACATACACACACACACACACATACATACACTATACACATACATACTAAATAGCATATCAATGTTTTAATCCAATTTTGTTGAAGAAAGGTGAATTGGGATAAAGCACCATCACTTGGCTTGACATTCGGCCTCTAGACAACAATATTTCTAAGACATATCAGAAGGAAAAATATTCATCCTATTTCCAAAACCCTTGGGCGAATGAGACTTCACATGTTTATGTTCATTGCTAGTAAAGTATTTATTCCATCTTCTTGAAGGACAGATGCTGACTAAATCTAATGAACCACAAGAAAATGTCCATTCTTTCTGTTTCCACTTAAATCCAGTACCTTCTTTTGTCCTCAAAGGAATGAAGCCCAGGAGGTGCTATGTTTATTAATGGTACCTCTGCTTAGCATTGCGTATGGCTTTTTTTTACTCAATAAACATAACTTATAGAATTTTTAATGGGTAATAATCTGTATTTATGTGATTTTAAAATATGTCTATGAACCTTTGGAATAAATCTCATCTACCTAGAGAGAATCATTTATTCCAGGCACATGAACACACATGGAAGAATATTACCTAACTTCAGTATTCCAAAGGAGGAGGACAAAACTGTTCCCATTAGAAAGTGGGATTCATAAACCCTTGGGTATTCATTAAGACTGAAGCATCTCTGAACTAGTTCCACTGGGTTATGCAAACATCCATTGGATCATTTAGAAGTTCAACACCTTCAGTATCACATTAAACTGATCATCAGCTGATTTGGGGACATAGTGCATGTAGTCTACTGAGATGGAGAACTTTCAGAGATGAAATCAACCATAAACTTACCCATGCTTCAGGCTAATTCCTCCTCCAGTTCCAGTGACCCAACCCAGATGGTAAAACTGTTTGCAAAGTTCTGGGATCAGGTATCTGGGATGTTCCTTGTCCTTAAAAAGAAGATAATGATTTTCAAAATAGGCTTTAAAGAATCATGTAACTATTCCAGTTGGCATTTCCAATAAGACACCAACTTTAGAACATTCAAAGCAATCAACCTAAGAGAAGGGACAGTGAAGGAAAAAGCTATTACCAACACATTTTGTTCCTAGTATTTAGCAAGTAGAGTTAGTATATTATTTGGCAGCCTGGGATCAGTCAGCGTAGGGCCTAGTGCCTAACTGTATGAAACAGGCTGCAAAAGTACGGTAAGGAAACGTCCAAGTGTTTATGACACAGTGTCTCCTGAAACGGCTGAAAGAAAACAGAATCTAGTGTTGAAAAGAACCTGCTTCGGCCATACAGATGAGTTATGTGTGAAACACTCTGTTCAACCACAGCACATGAGATATCACAGTTGTTGCATGTTCAACACAGACTCTCTGTTGGTTCAATTTAATTTTTATATTAAAAATGATGTTTTCTGGGGGCTGGAGAGGTGGCTCAGCAGTTAAGAACACTGGTTGTTCTTGCAGAAGACCCGGGTTTGAATCCCAGCACACTCATGGCAGCTAACAACTGTCTGTAACTCCAGTCCCAGGGGATCTGACAACCTCTTCTGACCTCTGTGGGCACTGCATGACACAGGTGCACTTACCTACATGCAGGCAATACACGCACACACAAAATAAAAATAATAAATTTTTTTTAAAGTAAAAAAAAAAGATGATGCTTCCCAAAGTGATTTTACTAATTTCTCTTATTACAAAACAATATATACTCACCATGGAAATTAAAATCCTGCAAATAACAAACAAAAGTACTCAAAACCAATCATGATCAATACCTGCCAGACTTATCTCTGGGAAAAGAATGCACATGCAGAAGGGCTGAGATGAGCATCCAGCCTTATTTATACATGTAACTCCAATAACCACTGCCTCCAAAAAATGGTATTTGTTTTCCTTGCCATTTTTACAATTTAAATTAATGAAAACAAACAATAAGGTAGAATACAATGAATTCCATTTTCGCAGTATGATCTATAGCCTTACCTTGAAAACAAACAGAACTGAATGAGTTATTTTTGCAAATATTTCAAAATAAATTGCTGAACTGGCAAGAAAATGAGATTTCATGGGGGTCATAAAAGGAATGAGAGAACAGCTTGGGAGGAGGGTGCTCCAAGGCCAGACTTTCCTCTGGGCATCTGCAAGAGCTCTGGAGACCTCCAGATTCAATTCCAGTAGCTGTGCCGAGGCACGTTCCTTTTCAATACTAGATTCTGTTTCCGTTCAGCCACTTCAGTAGACACTGTGTATTAAACACTTGGACACTTCCCCGTTGTTGTGGCCTATTTCATACAGTTAGACTCTAGCAAGAGCTCTGGAGGCCTTGAAATTCAATTACGATAGACCATTATTTTAACAGACTGGACTCTCAGATATCTGAAACTGTGTTTTCCCAGATTCACTGCAAATGTTCTACATATACATTTAGCTTAAGGTAAATATTATGAATGATAGCCTTCAAAATATAATATTCAGAACATGGGAGCCAAGAAAACAAACTAAAGTTCTAATAAACGCAGGCTTAGGAGTTAGCAGACAACATCAAATTATTATACCTAATTGATTATTTACAGGACTTTCCTTGCTTTAAGGAATAACATGAGACACAATGAGTATGAAATACCCAACACTGGGCTGCAGAGACTGTTCAGCAGTTAGGAGGGAACAGTTCTCAGCATCCATGTCAGGCAGCTCACCACCACCTCTACCTTCAGCTCCAAGAGGATCCCTGTCTCTGGCCTCCAGGTACCTGCACTCAAGTGCACATACCCACACGCACATACCCATGCACATAACTAAAATTAATAAAAATAAATCTGCAAAAAGGACACCCAGCACAATGTGTGACCCAAATGCTAGTTTCCTTCCCTTCAAAGAGTTAAAATTCTTGAACAAAAATTTATGACTTAAAATTAATAATAAAGTGGATTTCCTATCTTTCCTTAAGGAATATAGCCAAAATGATCTATGCCCTATACAATTTGCTATCTCCTTTTTTAAGGAACATAAATGATATTTTAATTACAAATTAAAATACAGCTAATGGGAAGGCTCCTGTAGGTTTCCAACCATTAAAACCAAATTTGCACAACAAATTGCAAACATTACAGAAAATGGTCTGTTATTATAGGTCCCACCTTCCCTTTTGTCTGATCCAGTACTGAGGTATTACAGCAATTAGCCAGCATCATACTACAGCATAACAATGAGGAGGCTCTGCTGTTAATGCATTCCCAGTCATTCCTTCCTAAAAGTTACAATTAAAGGGAAATAATGGAGCACCAGCAGAGGAGATTTGGTGAAAATGCAGTCATTTAACCTGTCCAGAATAAGGATGTGAAAATGCAAATATACCTTAAGAACTGACAGGAAAGAAAGGTTTAGTTGGTATCCAGTCCTCGAAATGTCAATAATATTGCCTTTCAGTTATTGTTAGATCCAGCTTTCAACCTGAATAACAATTTTAGAGTATTACCTAAAGATTTACCATAATCAACTATTTTCAAGAGATGCTACAGTATAGTAGAAATGTACCTAGTAATATTCAGAATACATTAAAAATATTACAGTCTAAAAAGGTTTGAACCAATTTTTTTCTCCAATCTTTCAATCTAGTTATTTTAAGGCAATTTCAACCTGATTGCCACTAAGAAACCTATTCATGGCTAACATGGCTCCATTTCCTTTACTTACTTTTTGTTTTAGATTAAGCAAACACCAGCATTTACTAAGACACGGGTTTTCCTTGGAGACTCTGACACGTGTAAAATATGTCCAATGATGGGCAGCGCTCGGTCGTAGAACATGTGTGTATTAGCATGAGGAAGGCCCTGATCCTCAATTAAAAGAAAAAGTGTCTAAGGTATTAACTTAGCAGTTAATGAGGAAACCAGTAAAGAGTGTAAGAACTGGTTCAAAATAGAATTCAACACACTTGGATATAAATAGAATTCTAAATTTTCAAAGAAAGCAAAGTTGGACAATATCCACAGGTTGACAATAGAATTTGTACAGCCACAATGTTCACTATGAACAGGCATCTGCATTGCTGTCCGTAGTCTACAATTTACCCAGCTACCAACTAGCGTAAAGACGATCCCAAGAGATGCAATGAAGCTTTCGCTTATTTTAGACTTTCACATTTTTCCCAAGATGTGCCCCAGAAAGGGCCCATGCAGGTACAGCCAAGCGGTCAGGGTTCTGGGTGTGCGTGCTTTGTTTCTTCTGGCTTGTTCGTGCCCTTCTTTGCATCACCTCAACTCAAAACCCCTTTCCGTGCTTTCACCAGACTAAGGAACCCCTTTACCTAACTTAAGCACTGACTAGGAGTTCAAAACACAGAGCATGGTTCAGCTTCATTCCAATTGGCAAGTCAGGGCTACTTTCTGGGCATCCATTTTCTCATGTTGCCTGGTGATTCCCAGACTTCTGGCTTGCAACACTAGTCATTTTCTTAATCCATTGTGTGTTTGTGTGTGTGTGCAAACACACGCATACACATATGTGTCACGGTACATGCATGTAGGTCAGAGGATTTGTTTGTTTGTTTTGACACAGGGTCTCTCTGTAGCCCCAGCTGGCCTGGAATTCACCATGTAGAACAGGCTGGCCTTGAACCCACAGAGATTTGCCTGCCTGACTACTGAGTGCTGGCATTAAAGGTGTGCCCCACCCACACCATAAGTCAGAGGACAATTATAAGCAGTTCCTTTTCTCTTTCCGCCTCTATGTGGTTTCCAGAGTTGAATTCACTCACTAGGCTTTCACAGCACTTTCTTTACCTGCTGAGTCTTCTCATTGGCCCATAGGTAGTTTTATTTTTAGGAAATGATAATAAGGTTGCCAAATAGTGACACTAACCACATTTTAACCCCCAACAAAAGAGCCCACTTTTAAACATAAAAAATAGTAGGAAGGATGTCAGAATGAAAAGAATCTTTTAAATTGAACGTAATTAATTTGGAGAAATTCATGTTCTCATTCTTCTCGTCTTGTAATCCCAGGAAAAATTCTTGCAGGAACTGATATCGGGAGGCAGAAAGGTACTCTTTTCCTGTGAGATCTCCTTGCTTACAGCTTTTTCTGCTCCAGTTCATCCTTTAGTCTATGAGAACTGAACTAATGTTGTTCTTTGATCACTGAGCTCTTTTCTTCAAATCATCTCATGCTCAAAGCCCTCCCTTGGTCTAAGTCCTTTTGTGTCCTAATTTAACTTTTCAAGTATTTTTTTCACTATTCCTTTATATGAATCTCTCAGTTCTGGTCAAACTCACTATAGTAGACAACCTACAAGATGACTCAGTGATTCCCTGCATCCCGACAGTCACACTGTCCTGTACAGTCTCTTTCCATGGTACTAGGGTTGGTTGATGTGTTGACAGACGATGGCAGAAGTGGTACTATGCCACTTCTCAGATGAGGTTATAAAGCCTGTAGCTTCAATCTTGGGTCTTGGAATACATTCCCCTCTGGGGATCACTGGCTCTGGGGAATGCCAGCTGCCCTGTACTGAGGATAATCAGGCAGCCCATGCAGAAGGCCATTTGGTGAGGAAATGAGATCCAAGGCCAAGGACCAGTGAGGAACTGAGGTCTTCAGAACGTGAGTGAGCAGACCCTCCTTATCGAGTCAATCCTTGATGTGACTTGTCCAGGCAGCAGTTTGACTGCCACCTTCATGAGGGACCCAGGCCAGACCTCAGTTCAGCTGCTCCTGGATTCCTAATCCTGAGAGTCTATGGGCCGTAACCAATGTTATATTTTCAGCTGCTAAGCTATAGGGTGATTTTCTGTGTAGCAACAGAAATAAGTTACACCTTCTTTTAGGCAAATAATACTTTTTTCCCCCCACCGTTACTGCTTCTAGAGGAACTCCAGTTGTTGTAGTTCTATCAAACTGCTGCTTGTCAGTCTGTTACCAGCAAGAAGTGGCGAGCCTTC